TTAGATTCAATGTGGTTGAATTGCATTTTTGTTGTTTGTTAGCAATGTTTGTGATCCATATTGCTATGATACTTGTGATGTTAAAGGTAGCGTATATTTAAAGTTCTCAAAGATTTAGAGTTGAGAAGCTCTAAATGAAGGTGTCTTATCACAAGGGCACTATTACGTATATGAGAACCTACCTATATAAATTCGAAGTTTAGCCGCTTTAAGAGAAGTCTAAATGGACATATAGACTTTGATGAACTTATGATAGATACGGACACATGGCTGATAAAAAGTGTCAAGTGATGATTAATTCGATTTGTCTTGTGTGTACTTCACCTTCGAATGGTTGGATATATCCGTGTGATTCAATCCATATGGAAATCATGGGATATGATCATCGTTAAGTGTGTTGTACTAGGTGTCAATTCAATCCGTAGGGACATTGGCATTGATGCATGAGATGTGGCTAAAATTGATAGAAGTGGAGAATGTTTTAAAGGAACACTCTAAATAGGGGAGGATTGTTGATGATTTAGAGTGTTGTATGGTGCGCGCTTGCACCCATGTTAAGCGCACCCGCGTAAGGCAGGCGCGGCCTCGATGAGAGCGCGCCTAAACCGCGCACCTCTCTGGAAATCAGCATGTTGGATGAAAGTAGGGGGCGCGCCTGCGCTGTTGATGGCGCGCTCGCGCTGCTTGGTAGCGCGCCCGCGCTGCAGACCGCGCTAAAACTGCGTCCCTCACCGACTTCAAGTTCATTTCGTAGGCATTTTGGGAGGAGCGCCCGCGCCGACAAGTGGCGTGCCCGCGCGGCCAGGAGGCTCGCCCGCGCCTATTTGTGTCGCACCCGCGCTGCTTCCCAGTTCTGCGGTTATTTGCTGACGGTTATTTCTTTTATAAAGTGGATCGTTTGAGATATCAAGGATAGACAGAACAATTTACTCTTTCTCTCCAAAAAAAAGTAATTCTCCACATTTTCTCTCAATCTTCTTGCAAACTATTGTGAGAAAAACTTTTGAAATTTAGCCTTCATCGTGAATTATTCATTATTCTTCGATTCTAGTGCTAAGAACAAAGTTTGCTGTCAATTGGATCTCAAAGAGGATTTCCGGTTTAACCCAAGCACCGTGTGGGGGAAATAAACCTCTTTAGGAAAGTGTATACACGCCTTTGACAGTGTATCAAGGTTTAAGACTCAAGTGGTCATTAATTTTCTCATGTTCATGTTCATCTTCAAGGCTTGGTGTTGAGGCAAGTTTAGAATCTTTTACATAGTGTTTTTCTTTGTATTTTCCGAAATACATTGTTATTTTGGTGTTTGGTTGTAATACTTTGATTAGTATTTGACTGTTGTATAATTTGATTGTTATTATACACGATTTAGGTTTTGTTCCCACAAACTAAAGTAATTCTTTGTTTTGAATTGCTGTAAAACCTAACAAGGATAAGTTTTAATTTTTGTTTTTTAGTGGCTACAAACTTCCTAAGGTTATTAGGAAAGTTTTTAGTTAGTTAGAGTTTGATTAGGAATAAACTACCTAGCAATCTTATCTTTGATGGGATTGAAATTCTATCTTATGTAGGATTATTAGAATCCTATCTAGGTTAGATCTCCTACTTCTAGGAGGACTAGGAGACCTCTTTGAGGCCTATAAAAGCTTATTTTCGTGGGTTTTGAAGGAACACACAACCAAAAAATTTAATACAATCTTATTGTTTGTTTTGCTTAATTGCTTACAAATTCTTTTGTTAGTTTTCAATTCAAGGAGTTGTTTTGATAATTAGACCGTTCAATTCTTAGTTTTAGGAGTAGTCTAAGTTTTTTTCATCAAAATACTTAGTTCCAAGAGTGGTTTAGGTAGTTTGAAAGGCATTGAATTCGTTCCAGGAGTGGTCGCTTTCAAGGTCGAATCCGATCCGTTATTCTTAAGTTGTTCGATTTTCTTAGGAAATTCAAAGGGCTTGAGTTAATTGTGTGATTTTAGATTCTTTATTGGGTTAAGGGGTTTAAATCCACATCAGTTAATATTGTAATTGCTCTAAATTTGGGCTTCTCCTCCTCCATCTCATTCTTCTTCTTCCTCTATCCTCTGACCTCCATCAATGGCAATCAGAAACCTTCAACAGAGAAATCGACATACATGAACATCTTCAATGGATGAGGAAGACAAACCTTGTTCTTAAGGGTTAACCATGTTCAAATTTCTCCATTTTTCTTATGGTTTTTCGTTTAATTAGGCGGCGAAGCTACCAGAAAGGTGAAGGAGGGTGAAGAAGATAGGGGACGACGATGATGGTGGTGGTTTATAGGCGGAAGGATGACGAAGAAGAGGGTGGTAACAACTTCAATGGAGTACAGATATGGAGTTGGAAGGAGAATTGGAGATCGAAATTGAAAACTCAGAAAGTACAAAAAAATGATAAAATATTAAAAAAGTTGATTTTATTTACCAATTTTCCATTTTAAGATGCAATTATGTTTCTCAATATGAGAAACTGGGGCTCACCCATTATTATATATGTGCAGTATAATATCTCTTGTGGCATGACGCTGATTTGGGTTATACGGATTCAATTAGTGTGGGTCAATAATTAGTGTAAGAGGTGATTGATGTGGATTTGAGCAAAAGTTATATGAGATAGGTAAATGAGAAAGAGATGAAATGAATGTCCGATGGTAGACAAACGATCAAACTTAATCAATAAACTGATATTAATTTTCAAATAAATGTATTTATTAAAAAAAAAACCCAAAAAATCGGGTTGACATGTTGGGTTCGGGTTCGGGTCGGGTTTGACCCACAAATTTGCGAGTCAAACGAGTTCGGGTTAAATCGGGTTACGAGTCAAAAAAATTTGTTCAAGACCCACAAAAACTGGTTGAGTTCGGGTCAGGTCGAAAATTGACAGGTCTAAATATCTTCTATCCAAACACTCCAAAGAACTCTTTAAAACGGCCCAAACAATTTTATTTGTTTTTAAAAGCTCCTAACCAAATCCCCCACAAACCTATTTTTAAGACCAATTGTTCAGGCCCAAATAATTTTTCAATCCAAACACAAATATAAGCCCAAACGTTTATTTCCCTGAAATCTAGCCAATTTTTTTTAAGAATTGAAGCCCAAAACAATTGCTCACTTAATGTTTACTCCCTTGTACTACGGCTTCTAGTCTTCTACAGATCAAAGAAAGCTCCCCAGATTTCTTGTCATCATTTTTCTAGTTCAATAAGTGTGAAATTTTATGCACCAATGCATGCCTCTAAGCATTTTCCCTAGTCATTCCTCCTACAACAATAGAATAGAATTAATAATGTTGCCCCCTTTACTCCGCATTGTTTGCCTTGATTAGAGCATAATTATTACTTTCAATGTCGAACTCCTACCATTAAAGTCAACGGGATTAAGAGTACGAGAGATGATTTTTATTTTATCTATTAAGTACTCCATAATGTTTAGTGTGGTGAAGAGATCTACTCCCTTTGTTACATAGGATTTGCCCTTTAAAGAACTTATCGAAAGAATATAGTATTTTTTTAAGGGATTTTCCATATGATATCATTAAACTTTTGGCTTTTCTATATGGTATCCAAATATATTTTTTCTTCCACGCGGTACCACCCAAGATTATAGGTAATTCATACCGTGATACTCCGTTAATTAAAAGGTTAATTATAATCGTGGGTGGTACCACGTGGAAGAAAAAATATATTTGAATACCATATGGAAAAAGCCAAAAGTTTAATGGTAATATGAAAACTCCCTTTCTTTAAAATTTTCGTTAAGTGAGGTTAATGAGAGAGAAAAGGATTAAAATATTACTCGTATAAGAAGGTAAATCAGTTGCCTTTTATATCATACAAACTTAATGAAATGTAAGAAAAAAATAAACCACTTGTATAGAATAATCCATTGAAATAGAGAGAGTAACTAATACTTCATTTAAGTATTATGCTAATCCGGAGATGAAACATGAAAGTGGTTGGTTGGAGCTAGCAAATATGGGTTGGGTACGGTACTTGGGTTATCTAAGTGAACTAGTCCAAATCAATCTGTCAAAACAAACTTGCCTCGTTTACCACATCTAGTCAAACTTTGTCTAATTCAGTTTATCATACAAGTATTTTGACAATTTTTTCCTATCTCAATGGGTTTGTTTAGTCGATTTGACTAGAATTTGTTTTTCTAAGCCAAAATTAGGCTAGGATTCAGACAAAAGGCTTAAAGTCCAAGGACATGAACTTTTTGTGTTGAAATCAAAATGTGTTGAGCTGGAATACCTTTAAATACTACTCGTATAGTAATGTTTGGTGTTTCATATGTAACTTTAATGTAGTTATGTGTACACTTATTACGCAGTAAAATTATATTGATATACTTCTGTTATTTTTAATACTACCTCCAATTCTTATTACTCGCAACAAAGAAATATTTTATGTCTTACAAATAATACTCCTTTGTTACGAGTAATAAGAATCGGAGGTAGTACTTCATATCAAGATAAACAAAAATCATTTATCTAGTTGCATTTTTATAAGTAAATTAACAAAAATCTCAATCAACATGACATTTTCATAAATCAATATTTGTGGAATTTGCATTTTACAAAAGTTGTTGATTTATTTACAGAAATGCCACTAAATAAACACTTTTTTGTTTATCATGGTTCATAAATATTAATTATCTGTTATATTTCTTCTTTAATGTTACTGATTTTTAATGAACTGAAATTATTTTTATTGAACTGAACTTATATTTATTAAACTAAAATTATTTTTGCTGGATTGAAATTATAACTAAAATTATTTTTGCTGAATATCATTTTTTTTAAAACGAAGTGAACATGGTCTTACATTACTTTTAAAATTGTTTCTCTCACGTACTAACAATTAAATATATTCCCACTAATATACTTTATATATTATAAATTTTTTTTTTGATCCCATCATATATTTTTCATATAACTTTATGATATTTTACTCGTAGTTAAAAAGAGATAATGTATTTGGACTTATTCCATTGAATAATGCGCATATGACTGACCAGGTGAGAAACCACAAATTAATTTCAATTCAAAAACAATAAAAGCACAACACAACACAAGCGCTAGCGTTACCTTAAATCCTTCCATGTCTGCTCTTTCGTAAAGCTTTCTCTTATTAACTCATACCTTCTCCTACATTCTAGAGAGAGAAAAAGAATGGGTAAAGAAGAAGCAAAAGCAACGTCATTGCTAAAAGAAACGATAGAAAAAGCAGGAGGATGCGGTGTTATTGACGGAGGGCTTGCTACTCAGCTTGAAATCCACGGCGCCTCTTTTGACGATCCTCTTTGGAGCGCCGTCTGCTTAATCAATGATCCTCATCTTATCAAACGGGTACTTTATTTATTTATAATTTGAATTTTCAATTTTGTCAATATTAACGGAAATGTTATCGCAAATTAGATCCTACACGCGAGTGCATGATACGGGTAGTTAGAAGTAAAAGAAAATGTAGTTGAGGATAAAATTGTTGATTGGTTTTAATTTTATTTGTAGGTTCATTTGGAATATTTGGAAGCTGGTGCAGATGTTTTGGTTACTTCATCTTATCAGGTTACCATTTTTGTATTTCTTGTTCATTTTTTTATTTTACATTGTTCTTGAAATTTTATTTAATTTGTTTTTATTTTTGCTATTATAGTTGTTGATTTGTTTTTTTACAAAAATATTGGTGGTGGTGTTGATGTTGTTGCTTGCAATTAGAGTTGGTGTGGTAGGTTTTGAAAGGAGGGGGGTATCATTTCAATTTGGTTGGTGTGTCTTGGAAAACTACAACGATTGACCGGAATTAAGGAACATGGTTAACATGATACTGTAATTTGAACTAGTTATATAATAACAAAAATATCAAAGTTAATGTAGTATATTGTTAAAGGTAATAGAATCATTCGTCATAATAATCATTTGTCATAGTTATTGGAAGTAAAAAAAAATGAAAAATTGTTATAGATGCTGCTGGATTCTTGATTTGATATTGCTTAAAAACTACTTTTAGTCATTACAACAAAAATGGTTGGTGAAATTGGTAATATTCATGTGTTGACAAATGCTTTTCGAAATCAAAGAATTTCTTGTGCTGAGAACTTTGACCTTTGACAAGGGAGAGAAAGAATTCAATGACACAGATTTCTTTGACTTTGGGTTGATTTTAAGGATTTAGATTTTATTACAGGAATGTAATACGAGTAAGAAAAATTATATGTTGGGTCTTTTTCCAAATTTTAAATATTTAGTATTCCTTAACATTGCAAATGTAAAGCTTTGCGCTACTGTTTTATGCTACGTCAGAGCCTAACCATTTGCAGATGTATTGTGCCTAAAAGTATTACCATCTTTTTTATTCTTACCACTGTCCTAGACGTTGTGCTCCCAAGTCCCGACTTGATTGCTCCAGTTAAGTTGTATTCTATCAATGTACAATAATTATAAGAATTCAATTAACTCAATTTTCAACTTGACATCAATTTATCAGCAAATTAGGACAATTGGACAAATAAGGACATAATGCTGATGTTATTGTCGGCATAGAACTAAAAAGATGTAGTGGGACATGGGTGTGATGAAACAGGATCATCATAGGAATGGCCTAAGAACACTTATATGCTTGGATAGGCATGTAAAGGGTCTTGTAAATGAGGCCTTGAAGGTTTGCATTGGTATATATTGGAAAGTAACCGTATTTTCCATTATCCTAGTTGTGCTGTGTCCAACTTTCCACAATACTAGGAAGGTTTATAGATTAAGAATAGCCAAAAGACCTTATTGGATGTATGGCTTGCACCTTCTTGAAGCCATATAACTGTAATACTCCAACTAATCTGTTCTCTAGAAGTGGTGGATCGACTAACTCACTAACCAACTGGTGAATTCTAATGAGGAAGTTTTCTTACATTACCTTCAAGTTACCCATCAGGTTAGACTTAGACTAAATTATCAGTATACCCTAGGTCAGTAGCTGGTGACAGTGAGGATGAAGATGAATTATGTGATAGAGAAGGTAACCCTGAATGTCATAAAATGTACTCTTTCTTGAACCTAGGGCTACTTTCGTGTGACTTGGAACTTGATGAAGTCTGTTTAGATATTGAATATACTATGGTTATGGATCGTGGTAAGATTAACTTTGAATTGTTCTGTCTAACCTCAGGATGTTTTACCTCTTACAGGCAACCATTCCAGGATTTCTGTCAAGGGGCCTGTCAATGCAAGAAGCAGAGTCATTGCTGGAGAAGAGTGTTAGATTAGCTATTGATGCCCGTGATGAGTTTTGGAATGCTGTTAATAAAAATGCTGAAAATAGTTATAATAAGGCCTTGGTGGCAGCATCAGTAGGCAGTTATGGAGCTTATCTTGCTGATGGCTCAGAATACAGGTGATTTCTATGTGAATTAACTATTAACTAATCTTGCATAGATTCTCCGAATATACGATTTCCTGTTTTGATTTCAATTTACTAGCTTTGATGTTTGACAGCTGGTGATAGTTTGCTATGTCTATATATGGTGATCTAAATTTTAAATGTAAACCTTTCTTGCAGTGGAAATTATGGACAAAATATTGATGTGGCGAAGCTAAAGGATTTCCATAGGCGAAGAGTACAAGTTTTAGCTGGAGCTAGTCCGGACATATTAGCATTCGAAACAATTCCCAACAGACTTGAAACTCAGGTTTGCTGTTCCTGACCAAATATATTGTTGGTGCATTTCATGTAAATGGCTCTAGTACCTCATAAATATTGTCAGTTTCTGGTTTGTACAATTGTAAACAAATTGAGAGGGAGAATAAAAAACTGAGTTAAATGTCTTCAGAAAGTATTCTTCATCCATTTCAGAATTGTTATTTTGCTTATGTTGGCCTTGAACTCAATCACTTTCTGGATCTTGTATCATTCTTCTTACACGACGGACACTTAATAGCTTGTCAAGTGTCGTTCCTGTGTATTTTAAGCACCTGTTATCGCTGACTTTAGGTGACAGTGGTGGAGAAGTTACGAAACAAAGGGGTTAGACAGAACTCACTGAAGTAGTAACTTGTGCAGGATAGATAATATGTTAATTTATTTTTTCCTAGGCAACTATACAATGCTAATTAAAATATGAATAAAATAAAAAGAAATGAGCATGTGAGTAGAGCTTTGCTCTCTCTTCGGTTTCTGGTTTAATGCTTTTTCATTATTGTCCATTTGCAAAGGATTGTTCTGACATCATTGACTGACCAAACTGGATATGTGATGTTTAGGATAAATATATGTGCCCCTTTGCAATGTTTAGCTCCCCTGTATTTCAAATATCTGTCATGTGCAAAGATGGCTGCAGCAACTCTGTGTGACTTATGAGAAATAACGTGGCATCCCCTGAATTGCAATATCAATTTGCAGGCTATTGTTGAGTTGCTTGAGGAAGAAAATATCCACATTCCATCATGGATCTGCTATAGCTCAGTAGATGGCGAGCACGCCTCATCAGGAGAGAGCTTCGAAGAATGTCTCAATGTTGTCAATAAGAGTAAGAAAGTTGCAATAGTAGGAATAAACTGTGCACCACCACAATATGTAGATGGTCTAATTCGCAAATTTAAGAAGGTATACTGCATCAAATTTTATTGATATGTACTAAAATCCTGCCAGAGTTATAAATTTTTTTATGAGATTCTCATTGCCTTCTTTCTCTAATTTACAGCTGACAGACAAAGTGATAGCAGTTTATCCGAACAGTGGTGAAACATGGGATGGCAAAGCAAAGAGATGGCTGGTGAGGCCCTGGCTTGAGCTTCCTCTAATTTGTGCATGTTTTTCGTTATTCTTGACTTAAAACTGGTATTCGATTTTCAAATTGTTGTTTCTAAATGATCTCTGTGCTGTTTGTTTGAATACTGCAGCCACCTAAATGTTCGAAGGATGATGATTTTGGATCATTAGCTATAAGATGGCGTGATTCAGGAGCTAAACTTATTGGTGGGTGTTGTAGGACATCGCCTGCAACTGTTCGGGATATTTCAAAAGCCATGAAGAGAAACCTTGATTTGTAATTTTTTTGTTTTTAAACATTAGTTTACTTGTGCAATTCCTATAAACATCCTGTTTTGTTTGCTATTCTCGTCACTTGCTCCCTAGTCACTCCCTCTCTTCTTTAAGGGAAAGAAAATGTACACTTCTTCGTTTCATATTATTCTTTCCGCTTTGATCAATTTTGTCTCACCTACTATTCACAACCATCAATAGTGAATATGCCACCATTTTACCACTTCTTACATTTCACCGTCCTCTTCTTCTCCACCCTCCACCACATCTCTGACGCCATCTAATTTATAGGCGGTAATAGCAAATTATTTTAAATAAGTTGCAATTGGCAAAATGAAAATTTTAAATGGCGGCAGGACTTAGCAAATTTGGTGGTTGGTAAAAGGTACTCGTAGTGATTTAAAAAGTATAATTAATCTCAAAAAATGATCAACTTATTATTTCTTTGTTACAAGTGACCAAATTTTTCAAAACTGAAGTATATGACCGTTGACCAATACTTTTGGACAGAGCGAATTATGAATAACTAAACATTATACAAACATCAATTCTTCGGTTTCGTATACTCATATTTCTTTAATCTGGTATCCATATTAGGAACTGTAATTACATCAACCACAAAAAAAAAAAAAAAAAGAAAAAAAAAAAAAAACCATAGCTTACAAAATTACAATACAAAAAGATTTTACTTGCAACTTTCAGTTTGACAAAAAACAGCAATTGATGGAATCATCATATGTATTCATCTCCATTATCGGCGTAGCAAAACTTGATTATATGTATAGCAGGGGACTTATGGGATCGGAGCGAATGTAATCCTTGATAGCTAGCTTTTGGTAGGAGGCATTGAATAAGGATCTATCTTCTTTCGAAACCAAGAGAAGCAACCACTTTTCAACTTACTGCTTTGCCTTTCGCTTTCATCATCTGTACTGTCATGTTCACTCCTTGTACTACTTGTAGACGTCGTAGTAGTAGTAGTCGTTGTAGTTTTCTTCATTCTCTCCGTTTTCCTGAGTTCTTCTGTTTTCTGCTTTTCCAGCATTCGCAACACGTAAACTTCGGCTATTTGTGCCATTTTGTACTCTAGTTTAAGCAAACTCGTCTCACTGTTCGATATTGTAAATGAAAATGAATTAACCTACAAAATTTGGTACGTACACCAAAGTGAGGTAAATTAAGGAGACAAGTATTTATGTTTATATTATGGCCTCTCTTTTATAGGAAGTATGGGCTTTGGCTCCAAGAAAAATCATGATGGGACCACAATGATGTAGTTTTTAACATATTTATAATATGGTTGTTGTGCTTTGTGTAACTTGGTGCCCAAGGCTATATATAAAGATGGCATTGGGCTGGGCCGACCCGAAGCCCGGCACGGCCCAGTACGAAAAAAGCATGACACGGTACTGTGCGTGTGGATCGTGAGCTGTGCCTGGGCCGCCTTTATTTGGAAGAAGCACGATAAGGCACGGCACGGCCGGGCTCGACACGACAAAACATTCTATCAATGCAATTTTGCTTAGGCATGCAAGCCCGGCACGAAGGCACGTGGGTCAGGGCTATGCACGAGCCAACCTTTTGAAAACTTCAGCCCGGCAAAGCATGATACAAAATTCATGGGTCGAGCCATGGGGGCCGGGTCTAACTAACCCCAAAGCACGTGGGCCTGACACGACCCGTCATGGCCCAGTGCCATCGTTATGTATATATACACATGATTTTATGACCTAGTTTAATTGGAAACGTTTTGCGTGAGACCGGACTCACTGTGAGTCTAATATGTCTGACAATAATATTATAATATCTAACAATAATATTCTAATATATGACAATAATAATCTAATGTTCTAATATATGACAATAATATTCTAATATATGACAATAATAATCTAATATCTAACATTATTAATCTAATGTTCTAATATATGACAATAATATTCTAATATATGACAATAATATTATAATATATGACAATAATATTCTAATATATGAAAATAGTAATATATCTGACATTAATATTTGGGAAATTCTACATAGTGGCCTCCAAGTTTTACAAATTCTATTTGGTGTAAAAAAAAAAAAAAAGCACATAATTTCTAGTGAACCCAAACTTTCATTAAACTCTATTTAGTGGCCAAATCTCACTTAAAATGGGTTAACTAAACACTAATGGTGACTTTATTAACTCTAATTTTTGAATAACTAACCTACCCCTATTTTTAATCCTTCCCTCCTATTTCATTAATGCTAACATAAACCTTCCACCGCCCTAATATTTCACGCATTGATGATCAGTAGAACTGTTCATCTTCTTCCATAAAATTCAAAGTGAAATCTGCAACAAAACTTCAATCTCGTTGAAATTGAGCAATTTGCAAGGTCGTAAATTGATTATTTACAGATTTCGCACAAAGTACTCTCTGTTTTGCGGTGTGATTTTTGGCAATTTGCGGCTGAGTATTCAAATCGACGACTAAGGTTTGTTGTTGGATTCATTGCAAAATTACTAGTTTACGACTGAAGATTAATGTGTTGAGCATCTTCCAGGTATCTATTGAAGATATTTACATGAAATTTTGAATTTTGCTCATATATGCATGTTAGGTTAACTGGTTGTTCTGTTTTTTGTGCGATTTACAGCTAGCTTAGTTTTGAGAATTCCCTTGTTTTATTTTGAATTTTTGTGTGTTTGGTTTAATGCTGTAGAATGGACTCAATTGTGTTAAAATTTCAAACGACCGAGAATGTGGTTGATATTAATGTTGATAATGTTGATAAAGTGATGTGGATTGATTTTATTATTGAGTATGAGGAATTGCTTAGGAAAAATGGGTATATGATGCCTAAATATTCTAGTTTCCATTACTGTTATAATAAGAAGGATGTTAAAATTACTAGTGACAGTGATTTAATGTCTATGTTAGATAGAGTAGGAGGAAGTAAGAAAGTGATTACAGTGTATGTGGGATCAGTTGCTACACCTTCTGAATGTGTAGTTGCAGCTAGGAACCTTACAGAGTCATTGAAAAACAAACCCTATCTACCCAATATGCATTATGGTATGAGTCCACCTAAGAAGAACAACCAAATCTTTGATGTTGGGACTAGTGACATGTCTGATGTTAGTCCACCTAGGATAAATGAAATACTTATAGACAACTGGGAAAGAATGGATGAGGAAGCCAGTGGATGTAAGACACATAAAAAGAAAGGAAAAGGGGAGGGGGTAATCCTAAGCCTAGGGTTAAGTTACCTATTAGAAGGAGTTTACCTACAAATGAGCCACTTACCCTAGCTGACACTACTACTTTTTCCAATGCTCCTTTGCTTCACAAAACTACCCTGAATCCAACCTCATCAAACAACACAGCCTTGATTGTTCATAAAATACCTAAGACTACTGCTGCTAGGAACGGCTTGATTAACACACCATATGAAATTGAGGCACAAGTGATTACCGAAGAGGAGTTTAATAGGAGGTTTGAGCAACCTCATAACAACAAGTTTGAGCATGGAGAAAATAGTAGGCCAGAAATGAATGCTGATATTGGAGATGAAGATTTGGATAGAGAATTTGAAAGAGGTGTTGTCTCAGATGAAGAAGATTAGGAATTTGGTGAGATCATAGCCAATTATGATGCTTATAGCCAATTATGATGCTTATGCATCTGATGTATGGCAGACTGAACTACTTGATGATGATACTTACGTCAGTAAAATGTACAAGAATGGAGAATTTGCTAAAAATGTTAAGTTTGGAAGCATTGTCTTGAAACCATGGATAATATTTACTGACAAAGCACATTTCCAATTTGTTCTAAGAGATTACTGTATACAATCTGGGTTTGCTATTGTAGTGGATAGATCTAGTCCAACAAGATTCACTACTCAGTGCTTGGAATTGAACTGTAATTGGAGGATACATTCAAGTGTACTCCCTGATGGCACTACTTGGGCCATAAAGAGTATAAAAGATTCAGATCACACTTGTAGGGGTTTGGATGAGAGGAATCCTTTAGTTAATGTGAAATGGGCTGTAAGTAAGCTAATTGATGATATAAGGGCAAACAATGGTATAATTGGGAAAAATTTGAATGACCTGTTGTGGACCAGGTATGGGGTTCAGATGGCCACTAGTACTCTGTATAAAATGAGGAGTATTGCACTTTTGGAGATCAATGGTGGGCATGATGAGTCTTATGGCCATCTTCCTAGGTACTGTGAAATGGATAGGCAAACTAATCCTAGTTCAGCAGCTTATTGTGCATGGACACAGAAGAATGATCCCTAACTTTCACTCACTTTCTCTAGCATTTTCATATCATTCAAGGGAGCAATAGATGAGCTTGGTGCAGGTTGTAGAAGTTTGATTGGGGTTGATGGTGCTCACTTAAAAGGGAACTATGGAGGGGTTTTGTTATTCGCAGTGGCTATAGATGCAAATAATGAGCTACATCCATTTGCATGGGCTATAAGTTCAGTAGAAGATGGGGAGAACTGGAAGTTTTTCATTTGGCATTTGAAGCAAATCTTGAAAGACTTAAATGGAGGGGATGATTGGTGCATTATATCTGACAGACAAAAGGTTAGTGTCTCATATGTTGGCTTTCATGCTTAATCTCAGTAAGTATACTTTACTGGTGTTAATTTATTCATTATGTGTTCTTGCAGGAAATAGATCTTGCTTTAACTGAGCTATGGCCAAAAGTAGGGAGGAGGTATTGCTGCAATCACTTGGCTAAAAACTGGAAATCAGCTTTTCCAGGACCCTTAATGCACTCTTTTTTTTGAATGGCATGTAGTGCTACTTCAAAATTCACCTTTAAAAAGGTTATGGAAAGAATTCAATAGACAAACCACTTGGCACTAATATGGTTAGCTAATATAGGAGATCAACAGAGGTGGTCAAGACACAAATTTAACCCAAAGATATGCACAGATGAAAATAAAACTAACTTTGTGGAGAGTTTCAATGCCACTTTGGGAGTGGACAGATACAGACCTGTTCTGACTCTTTTGGAAGGTAAAATTTTATGTTTAACCTAATCCTTATTGTTGTACATCTAACTTGGTTCATATGTTGAATTGTATGCTTGGTTATTTGTGGTTTTTGCAGGCATAAGAAGAATGTGTATGGTAAGGATGTTAACTAGAAGACAGAAATGTCAAGATTGGAATGATTCTGATCCATGCATGTTCTACCGTTGTAAAAAGAATTCAAAAGCTGATCAATGGTTCCAGAGCTTGCAAGTCCTTCCAGAGTAAAGAGGGAGAATATGAAATAAGAGAGGGTAGGTCAATGCTCATAGTGTCACTCAGTAATAGAAGTTGAATATGTGGGGCTTGGCAAATTTCAGGCATCCCTTGTAGGCATGCATTAAGGGCTATACTAGCTGCAGGACATGATCCTCATAGGTATGTTAGCACATGGTACTCAGTTGCAGCCTACAAACAATGCTATTCACATGCTATCAACTCATTTCCAAACATTGAGCATTGGCTAGAAATTGACCAACCAACAATTCAAGCTCCTACAATGAGGAGAGGAATAGGAAGACCATCAAGACAAAGAAGAAGAGTTGATGATGAACCAGAAAAAGAAAAAAGGTCAACCACTGTCAAATGCTCACTCTGTAAAGCATATGGCCATAACAAGCAAACATGCAAAGGTGGTATGACTACAAAGGAGAAAGCATCACAGGGTACTGAGCAGCCCAAAAAACAAAAAAAAAACAGAAGACAATTGCTATTGCATCTGCATCCCAGCCAACCACTGCCGATGTTGCTTCTCAATCTTCACAACCAATGCAGATAATGACCAGGAGGCAGACACGAAGCTTAACTATATCTTCTTCCCAACCAAAGCTAGTTTCTCAGCCAACTCAGTCCAAGCCAAGGAATAATAACAAAAGGAAAGAGAAAATGTAGGGGTTTGGTTTTTTGAACATGAGTAGCTTTTTTTGAGTAGTAAACTAAAGGTCAACTTATGTACTAGTGAAGGTTTTAGAGCACTCAAGAGGGGGGGTGAATTGAGTGTTAAGTATCCTTGGCCTATTTTTCTTCCTTTTCGATCTGTGAGAGGAACCAGTTGGGCTGGTTCCTGTAAGCAGCGGAATGTAAGAAAAGCAATAAAGAAGACACAAGATTTAACGAGGTTCAGCCAACTATGGCCTACGTCCTCCTACCCTATGTTCTCTTATTAATCTACTCCGAAAAATAAAGAACACAAACACTCTACTGTTTCCCTACTCCGGGAACCAGTATACCCCACACTCTACTCCGAGTGTGCGCTCGACTTACACTCGTAAGCCCCTTGTGTTTGAACTCACAAACACTAACCCAGCCTTTCAACCCCTCTGTTGAAGGCTTTAACAAAATCAAATGCTCTCTTATGATCTCGCTTCTAAAAGCTAATTAAGAGAAAATGTTTAAGCTCTAAGAGTGCTCTTGTATATGACTCAATGAATAGGCTCTTGTGATTAAGTGTATATGACTATCAAAGATTACTCTTTTAATTGCAGAGAGACTTGCAGAATATGAGAAGCTAGATGAGTTTATATACTTGGATACAAAAACCCTAGTTTCCTTAAATCACACAATCTTGATGAACAAGCAACAATGTGATTTTAGGAAAGTGTTTATCTTATTTGATTTAATCATAAAGATAAAATCAATAAAGATAAATACTCCTAGTTTTTAGGTAACCATAATATTATCATCTAATTTCCAGCTGCTTAGAATATTTTCAAGATAATCCTTTGAAAAATATTTTTACAAAATTCTTTTCAAAACACGCAGCATGGATATTCCGTACAGTGAACCTGGTTCCCTGAATTGAGTATGTTATGAATTCTGTTCCAGCTTTGTACCAGAATTCATAATATACTTCAATACACTTATAAGCACTTATTTTACCCAAACATGCAAGTCATACTACGGAGCACATTACATGATAAAACTAGATTAATCATTAATGTACAAATCTTCTTTTCTTCATGTAATCTTCAAGACTTGAATCTCCCTTGAATACGTCCATTATGAGCAATGTATCTTTCTTCGAATGTCTTCGAAAGGCCTCCATGCTCCAAGTCTTGGAATCAACTCAACTACTGCACATGTAACATGGTTAATGTACAATAAAGAGTATATGACTGCTTTTCAGCATAGCAGTCGAGGAAACAGTTCCTACTGGTTTCCCACCAGTACTTGGAACAATTTATATCCAACCATTTCCTACATATAGACAAGTTAGTTAAATGAATAACACAAATAAGTAATAACTTGTCTAGAGAAACAGTGTTTAATTCCAGCTGGTCTCCAACCAACTATTTGCAATACTTATTGTAACCTGTTTCCCGTAACTGTTTGTCATCACTCAAAACCTAAGGGACTCAACAACTAGATTTGATGTTTTTTTGTTTGAATGCTGTTTGTTGAACATGTTTTGTATCAAAAATAGTTGTTGTTTAAATTAATTGTTGGTGGAATTTCTGTCTTCTTATATAGTTTACTGGAATAAATTTTTGCAATATTTTTGTTCAATAGCTTCAACCATTTTAGGATAACAGATGGACAAACCAAATAAATCGAAGGGATTGAAATGAAATACACATATAGTAGTTAAACACCAATTTTATTTATAAACTTAGGGAAATTCATCATAAGCATAATACATCTTCCATTCATAATTGGACCCAAAACATTACAATCAACCTCCATAATTAATTACCAGAAAAATACATCACTTCAACAAGATAATGACACAAATGATTAGAACAACAATGAATATCTTCAAAACGTTCCTGAAGCAACTATGCATATCTCCCACAATCTTGTGAATTTCAGCAATGTCATCATCCGAAGAAGCTTCATTCTTCCTGACATTATCCTCAGTGACCCATGCAAAGAAACCACAGCCCCTGACCTTTTCTCTACACTTGTAATAAGGCTTCTTGGGGTTTGACATTGAAGCAGAAAATCTGACCTCAGAATTTTTGGGAGGAATACAGTTACAGGGCTTCATCTTCACCCAGGTGAAGCAACCATTTGTAGCGCTCCTGGACCTTGAAGCAATTGCTTGATAATCTATATCTTGCAAATTCACGAAGTCGCAAATTTTTTTAAGAACCCTAATTTATTGAAGAAAGGGGGAGGATTTGAAGAGCCTGTAATGGTGTTAAGCGGTTGAATATAAGGAGGGAATGATTTAAATGGGGGTAGGTTAGTAAATCAGTTGATTAGAGTTAATAATCTAACCCTAATAGAGTGGTTAACCCATTTTAAGTGAGATTTGGCCAGTAAATAGAGTTTAATGAAAGTTTGGGTGCTTTTTTATTTTTTATTTTTTTGACACCAAATAGAATTTGTAGAACTTAAAGGCTGTAAAATTATCCTTAATATTTTTAGGGGCTTATTCATGTATAATCCAATACTCTCACTTCCCCACACTCTCCTCTCATTTTCTCTCTCCTCAACCACAACCATGTCAGCCCACCACTACCTCCTCCTCTCTTCCTCCAATGGCGGCAACAAAAGCAAAAGACAAACAACAATGACGATTTTCTAGGGTTTATGGTGATTGATCGATCGATGGACGAGGAAATTGCATGAATGACGATGATGAAATTTGGGGGAATTGAGAGGAGAGAGAAAGTGTGCGATCGATCGATGGACGAGGAAATTGCGTGAATGACGATGATGAAATTTGGGGGAATTGAGAGGAGAGAGACAACTGTTGAATGACATGAGCCATGACGACTAGTATGGTTAACTTCATACTCTACTAAGAGAGTAATAGTTATAAATACTTTGCTAACAGGGTACTAATCATCCGTACTTTCTCTTGAAAAATATAATGATACTATCATCAAGCTTTTTGTCACATCTTGAAGAATAATGATACTCGGTATTAAGGTATTAAAGGCGCATGTGAACAAGTTTGATGATACTTTTATTATTTTCCAAGATGATGTAACAAAAACCTTCACACATCAATAAGGGTTAAATATTATTTCATAAACTCCATACAAAATAGCCTCTCCAAAATATTTTGGCACCAATAACATACACTTTTTGTCTTATGCAGTATGTAACTCCATGAGATGGTTAACCTCTTCTAAGGCTCCTATGCCGTTAATTCTTCCGCGTAAGATTGTAGTTAATTTATTTATGGCTTTTTTTTCTTTGTGTATTTGAAGGATGGACCATGATCAACCTTATATACAAGCCATTTTTGTAAAGAGAGAGGATTAATACTTTATAACAAGAATAAAGTATTAACATTTTATATACATTAATTTGAAAGTTTAACTCACTTATTATTTATGTGGTCAAAATAAAATGACTTTTACCACATTCTATGATTTATGCAATAGAAATAAATTAGCATGTGAGATTCTATTAATTACCACTCATTATAAATTTTCTAAATATCAACTTTTAACAATTTTCACTTTTGTAAGGCCATTAGACAAAGATATTCATGATATGGTAAACTATGTTCATTAGAGACCCTGCATTCGTGCAAATACAAAGCGAGTTGTACTACAAGATGGCTTATACTACGTATAAACAGTGGCGGTTTTGGGTCGGATCAGAGTGGTCGACGGAACAGGGCCCCTAAATTTGAGGGGATCCAAAATTTAGATATATGTAATTCAATTTGGTTTAATATCATAAAATTTTAGTTGGAGTAGTGGTTAGAGCAATTGTGCTTGTATAATAAATCTTAGGTGGTTCGCGTCCAAATACATTGAATGAAATTGCTCTAGAATCCTCCGCCCAAACCCAAAATCAGATCTTTCCTCTTTCCAAATATATTTTTTTTTCCAAAAATTTTTCAATCTATCATTCTAATTCCCAAAAACCTCTATATCTTCCAAAATTAATTTCACTTTACTATTAAAACTTATTATTTTCAACATTTCTAATTTACTTTCTGTAATTATCTTCAATTATTCCATTAATCTTCAAATATTTTCATCTCTCAAAATTATTTTACCCGTATTAATCATAATTTCAAAGGATGAATTTTCTAATGTAATGAATTTTTTTATCAAATAAAAATCGGGTATTTAATTTATCCTAGAAGGCCCTATTTTAAAATGTTGAACAGGGCCAATAAATTATTTGCAATTTTAGCCCCGGCACTGCATATAAGTTTATATAAACATTTATAATGTTATACGAAGTATAATGTAATACTACTCACTCCGTTTTTAAATACTTGCTCCATTTTTACTTTTTGCATTATTTATTTGTCTTACTTTGACTACTATTTGTGAATAAAAAAAAATATAGTCTTCTGGTACTTGTTGAAATTGTCTCGATAAATAGATTATTAATTTTTAATTGTTAGAATTTATACTTATTGATAATTAAAGATATTTAAAAAATTAGCATAGGCATACGTGCCTAAGAGAAATTAATCAAGTATTTAAAAGCGGAGGGAGTACATTACAAGTTTTAAAATAAGTTTATACTGCATTATATAAACAATAAAAGAATAAACGTACTTTTTATATAATGATGATAGCTTGTAGTATAAAGAGAGAGGATTAAAACTTAATATATCTGAAAGCAAGAATTGTAATTACATCAAGGAAAAGGATAAACAAATTAAACAAGTGATTGATTTCGATATGTAGGTTGCGAACATCTAAGGCTTACAAAGTTGCAATACATTAATGATTTTTGCTTTCTTTCTTATCCTACTAAGAAAGAACTTTGCATCTCACAAATCCTCCAAAATAAGCTCGGTGAGATGCCTCTATTAATTGTCAACTCCATTCGTCACAAAACCAACTTTTTCTTCGGTAACTTGAACGTACCTTAATAATAGGATAGGTAATATATTACTTATACTATGACTAAAAAGGATTTTGTCGAAGTCCTAACCATATAT